CGGGGGAGTTTTCTTCAGGTTTTCCCACCTGTGAGAAATACTGACAGCGCTTTTTCAACACCTCCGTGTCTGCATACCCAAGGGACCAGGTGGAACGATGCCCAAATGGGAAGTTTCAGAAGGAAACCCAAAGGACCCTGCCAAGTCTGTCAAGACCAGACTGACCCTCCACTTTCCATGGACGGGGAAACTGAGGCACAGCGCAGTGACATGACATTGGTCACCACTGCCACTGGCTCGTCATTCACCAGCCCACAATCACTCTCTGTTAAACCAGAGGTGACCGTTTCACATCCACATCCTCTCTCTGCTTTCCTTTCACTTCCTTTCAAGGCAGGGACGAGGCAGGACGGCGCTCGCCACTCACCACCTCTTGGTTTATGAGCTGCTGCTTTTGATTTCCTTTAAGGTAAACATTAGATTTGAAAGTTCCAGGAAAAACCCTCCTCCGCATCTCCTGGTACAAGAGCAGAAGTAAGGAAAGAGGAACGAGAAGCCTCAAAGCGCGGGGCCGGGGCATGCCAGCGCGGCGAGCGGAGGCTCCGGGATGGGGGCCGGGACCCCGCTGCCCAGCGGCCGGGGCTGCCTGCCGGGTTTTTGTCCCTGCCAGTGTTTTACAGCCCCACCAGGACAAAGGCGGCTGTCGCTATTGTTGGCTCACACGATAAGATCATTGTTGTGCGATTTTTTTTCTCTGCATCTGTGTGTCACTTACAAGTTTGTTGTTTTTCTTTTTTTTTCTTCTAGAAAATCTGTTCTCCTCCCCTCCATCCCCAATGTCAAAAGGGAATCTGTGTTCAAAGCCGCAGCTGAGACTGCAGATAGACTGTTCCCTTCCTGATCCTTATCTCACCAGGATGTAGGAGGATCCTTGGGGAATGGCTGGAAGCCTTTCGCTGAAGCCATCCAAGAAGCGAGCACGCTGACTACAGCCTTTAAATGGCAAATCCAGCAAGTGCTTGGGGACCAGGATCCAAAACGCTGCTTAACCCCGTCAAACTACGACATCGCTGGACTCCTGCCCCAGCGCCGAGCCCAACCCGCCCCGGGCACGGGCTCCTCCTCAAGCCACCTTCTCCGCAGAGCTCTGCGGGCAGCGCCGCGTCAGCTAAACACCGTGATCCAAAAATCCACCCTCGGATCTAATCTAAAGCAAAGCCTTAAACTGCTGCCTCACACGCTGCAGCTGCAACCCGCTCACGGGCAGGGAGCTCTGGGTGGCAGCAAATCCACAGCTGAGTTTCTCTTGGGCTGTGAGTGCTGCGGGGTGGCCCCTGCTCCACCACCCACCCCCTGGGCAGGAGTGGGGGATGGCAGAGCCCACCGGGTGCCATGCAGCGGGACTGGAAGCAAGAGGTGGTGGGGAACAAAGGGGGTCTGGTCCTTTCCCCCCACCTCGGGCTGGGTCACACCAGCACTTCTGGACCCAGCTCTGAACTACAGCCAGGAGCTCTCGACAGCAACGCTGCTGTGGGGAAGGACGGAGCTGCCTCGGGTGACCGGAGCAGGCTGAGGTCAGCGGGTGCTGAAGTTGCCAGTGAACCCAGGGGCTGATGAAGACTGTATCATCTTCCTCAGCATCATCCTCCCACTTGTCCAGAGCAGATTGCTGAGATGGCCAACACTCACTGTCTTTGCTCGATGGCTGATACCCACCATGGAGGAATGAAAAGAGAAATCCTGGACCCCTGTGCAGCCGAGCCTGATCCTTCTTACTCAGAGTCCCACCTGCTGCCAGCTTTATGGACCTGCACAAGGCAGCCTGCTTCAAATCACAACTGCTTTTATGAAAAAGTGTTACTGTATGTGGCAGCAAAGGCATCCAAATACTCCAACCACACCGATGCAACTAGCAGAAAGACTATACATTACGGCAGTTTGTACGTACACACGCGTGCACCCAGAGCGCAGCCATCGGCAGAGAGAAGCGGGGGATCGTTGGCACCGATGTGCACGGCTCTGCTGCCCGAGCTCAGCACATGTTCCCCTAAGCCTCTCGGCAGGAGCACGATGCACGCTTACCGGAGAGCAATTTGGTGCAGAAGTAAAGGAGGGAGCCCTTGGGTCGGGGTCTGATGCCTGTGAGTAAACAGTGAGAGGGGGAGAGCAGTGCTGCTTTCCATGCCAAAACGCTCCCCGATCCCACGCTCCGGCCCCATTTGGCTCCTCTGTGCAGGGAGTGTTCAATCACTTTGCAAGCGAGTAAAAACCTCCAGCCCGGCGTGTCCCGGTGCTGGGGCTGAAGAAGGGCAGTAGGAGAGGAGCCAAGTGCCCACAAGGAGGGGGATGCGGCGAGGAGGGACGCAGCACCCACAGCCCCTTGGGGTGTCCCCAGGCTGGGGGTGAAGCTTGTGCCAGGCAGGCAGAAGGGCACAGGCTCGTCCTTTGGTGACAGCAGACCCACAGTCACCTGGCAACCTGCTTCTTTCATATTTAGGGCAGGAAACAGATGCTGCCTGGCGGAGGAAGCATCTGAAGAAAATATGTGCACCTTGTGCCGTCCGCAGCAGGAAGCCAGTGGGAACAGGGGATGCTGGCTGGAAACGCCCCAGTTTGGCCCCAGTTGGGCAGGTGCAGCTCAGCTGGTTCCATGGCATCACCCTCTGCTGCACCAGTGGGGACGGGGGCTCCAAAGGGCTTTTTTCCTTCGGGTCTTTTATTTCTCCTTCGCAGCACGGGGAGCTGAGCGATCTGTTGTGTACCTGTCAGGAAGGTGACGGACCCCTGCTCCCGCAGCGACCTCTTGGGCAGTGTGGCCTGAGGGTCATGAAACGAGCGGATGAAGCATTTCTCTCCTCACCTACAGCTGCGGAAATGTGGACTCAGGGTGGGGTCCTGGGTCCTCTCGCCTGCATTTTGCTGTGCTGCGCTTTGTGCAACCAGAAATCTGGAAATCTGGCAGCCGGGGTCCAGCTTCTTGTTACATCCTATTGGATGTGGTAATTTTGCTCATCTGTTGGAGCCCCAAACGCATCATCCCCTCCCCAGCTGGGTGCTCTGTACGGCCCGGCAGGGTGAGTCTGCCAACGCGCAGCTGCACGGCGCTGCGGCCAGACTGCTGCATCCCAGAGCTGCGCTAAAGCCTGCGCGTCTATACGCCATGCAGCATAGGTGCAGCATCAAAGAATAGAGGGCCAAGGGACCTTGAGTGATCTGGTCCACTCCTCTGCCACAAAGAAGGGATGGGGAAGGCAGACGTGAAGACACTCAGCTGGATTTTCAGTGAGCAAAAGGCAAATGGAGAGAAAAACATTTTCTTTTGACACAGTTACACGAGCTGCTCGCGAGGTCCCAGGCAGCACCGAGTTCTTGTCCTCAGGAGCTGGCACAGCAGGCACAGGGCAGCAGAGGAGGGTGGGCCCTGTTAAAGCCCCTCTAACTCAGCTTGGCAGTAGCTGTCTCTACGAGAGGCGTCCGGCTGCAGCCACAAGAGCAGACGACAGAAAAAAAAAAAGGAAGCTGGGAGCTGAGATCGAGCGCAGGAGGTGGGGAGAGCTCTCACCCCACTGGCACGGCCAGAGCCAGGAGGACCCACACGTTTCCCCATGTCTGCTCAAAGCAGTGCCAACTGCCTGCTGCTCCTCAGGTACTTCCCGGAGCAGTAACTCGCTCAGCGTACAAAAGCCTCGCATGCATCCCAGCCGTGACCCTGCACGTGCCTCTCCCAGGATTTATCTCCTGCACTCACAGATATTCTGTGTCAGATTTGATTAGAAAACCAGTACAGCCACGTCCAGTTGCAGACCAGGACTGTCTACAGACTGCTCACCATTTTCCCAGCAGCAATTCCACCGAAACGCCCTCCAGCTGGGGAGCAAGAAGCACTTGCATCTATTTCGTGGAAACGGAATTCATCCAACTCAATAGCAGAGAATAAAGAAGTCTCATTTATTTCTGGCTCTGTCTCCTCTCAGGGCTGATTTCACTTCCCAATTCTCAGTTTTGCCAGTGGAAGAGATGGAGGAAACCAAATATTACCCACGTTTGATTAAGGCTTCGTTACACTAACACAGCACCATCCTCCTCGCCCTTTGGTCATTCCTGGAGAACGTGTGTTCCCGTTTGTCCGGGAGCCAGGTCACCCGGCGCCTCGCAGCCTCACACCAGCTCACACATCTGCATCTCTTCTCACTTTCCTCTGAACCACGAGCAGCTCCTTCACTGCAGCCCCATGGCAAGGAGCACAGCACCACGCGCTGCCGAGCTCGCCCGCAGCGAGATCACAGCTTTCACACCCTCTCTCCTCTATTTCCCGTCACTTCCCACACCTTTCCTCCACTTCTCAGTCTTCTATAAACGAAGCACAGGGAAGTGTGCTGCTCTGAACACAATGTGGCTGGTTGTCATACTGATTTCTAGGGGAAATGAGGGCTCTTACTGAAAACATCCCCTGAATTACGATAGTGTTCTTGTCAGACTGAGAAAGGACCAAGTAAAGAGTGTTTTTTGGCCACCTCAAGGCATTAACTGAAATTGTATACCCTAAATTAAATTAAGTATGGGAATTTAAAGAAACACACTTCTAACATCCCCTGAACTGCCTCATTTCCGATGGTGACTGCAGAGTGATTATGTGGATTGATAAGCGGCAGCTCTGGTTACAGTTTCCCACTTTTAAAGCTGTGGCTTGAGAGAGGAAGGAGTTGAGAGAGGAAGGAGTTGAAGCATTTGTTTATGGGTTGTTGGTAAGCAGGTTTGTGGAAGCTTTTCCGTTCTTTTCCCTCAAAATCCATTTCCGAGGTATTTTACTGATACCTGGCTGCTGAAGGGATGCCTGTGCCCGGAGCAGGGACCGTTTCCTGGGCGGCGAGTACTGCAGCTCTGGGGAAAGGCAGCAGCTGATTTCCTGCCCGAGTGCTGAGGACGTGTAACACCGGCAGAGGTTTGTACACCGGAGACACTGGCACAGCTGAGCACCGGCCACCGAGGACAGATCCCACACGATGCCCATGTTGCCTTCTGCAGCTCAAGCCGGGGGAGAGCTTCTCCAGCAACTCACCATGCCAAACGACAGCCTGGTGCTGAGCAGCTTGGACAGCATTTACATCGGCACCGAGTGCTTGGTCGCTTTGTTTGCCACTTTGGGTAACGTCCTGGTCATCTGGGTGGTGAAGCTGAACTCGACATTTCAGAACACGACCCTGTACTTCATCGTTTCCCTGGCGCTGGCTGATATCGCGGTGGGGATGCTCGTCGTGCCCCTGGCCATCGTGGTGAGTCTGGGCATCAGCGTCCCCTTCTACACCTGCCTATTTCTGTGCTGCCTGATGGTGATTTTCAGTATCGCGTCCATCCTCTCCCTCCTGGCCATCGCCATCGACCGCTACCTGCGAGTGAAGCTGCCAACCAGGTGAGCACCGGACCACCCCGGGTCCCTCCGCTCGCCCCGCTCCTGCCAGCTGTCCCATGCCCAGCCTCTGCCCCACGGGTACCACCTCCTCTCTCCTTAACTCGGCCCTTTTCTAACAAATACTCTAAACACCTGCTCACACGTGGAGAAAATACCTCTGCCTAAAAGCCCACCCGAGACAGGGTACCCAGAGCAGGAACCACCAGCTGCAGCCAGTAACGCAGCCTGGCCAGACCCGGGGGGGGCTCACACGGGGCCAATGGCTCAGTGTTAGTGCTGATCAGAATCTGCCACAGGGTGAGTCTGTGGTCAAACAGTTGAGTTCTTCAGATGTTTTTTTTAGTTGTGGCAAATGCTGAGAGCACTATAGGTTTCTTTGGGTTTTTGAGGCTAGTCTTTAAAAAAAAAAATCCTTTCGATGTTTGCTGAAAATACAAAAGTAACAGACTTATTAAGGGCTAACTTTAGAAGTCATTCACTTTTCATATTTGCATGGAAAAGTACATAAGCTAGAAATGCAAAACACAACCTTGAGCATGAAAAAAGTAATATTTTTTTAATGGGGAAAAGACCTATAAAACTGAAGAGTGAAAGAACAGTTTGGTCCTGCAAAGGGCACAAGCCAAATGTAGAGAGTAAGGTACAGCCAAGGGAGCTGGGAAAGAAGACAGAACTGCTAATAGCAGAGAAGCAATACCTAGGCAAGAGGAACACTAAGATCAGAATGAAACAAGAAACAAAATAGCTGACAACACTCCATTATAAAGAGGGGAAGTTGGGCACAGATCATCTTACGGGTGCTGCAAAGTAACTGTTGCAAATGAAGAGTTGGGGCTTGTCTCAAATTAAGATTTGGTTCCCTGACCCCCCAGAAGAAGCTAATACTCCATTTTGTGGCAATGAACCTGTAGGATTTGAACATGATTGCTCCTGAAACCATCCTGAACTATTTTAAACACTTCTGTTTAACACAACCTGGGTTTTGTTCCTCTACAGATATAAAATAATTGCTACAGAGAGAAGAGTTTGGTGGGCACTGGCTTTGTGCTGGTCTTTGTCCCTGACAGCAGGATTAGTCCCCATGTTTGGATGGAACAAGACAGAACCGAGACACTCTGACTTTCTCCGGTGTCGATTCACCTCTGTGATGACGATGGATTACATGGTATATTTTTTCTTCTTCGTATGGATGCTTATCCCCCTGCTCATCATGTGTGCTCTGTACGTTGAAATCTTCCACATCATCCGGACAAAGCTCAGACAAGGTACAACCAGCATGAAGGGGGCAGGAGCTTTTTATGGACAGGAGTTCAAGACAGCCAAATCTCTAGCACTTGTTCTCTTCCTGTTTGCAATATCCTGGTTGCCTCTGTGCATTCTAAACTGCGTTTCCTATTTTTGCCCTGAATGTCAGATCCCCCCGTATTTGATGTACTTGGGAATCCTGTTATCCCATGCCAATTCTGCCATGAACCCCATTGTCTACGCCTGCAAGATAAAGAAGTTCAAAAAGACGTACCTTTTAATTTTAAGGACCTATATCCTGTGCAAAAAACCAGACCCAGTTCTTACAGAGCAAACAACAGACCAACAGTCATAAATAACCAACATTGACCTACCAGTATCTACCAGACCATGGATAAACCACTTTGCTTTGTTAAGAAACTCATGGCAAAACGTGCAGTGCTGTTTCATCTACTCCCGCTCTTGCACAAACTGGTTTATGCTAAGGGCAAGCTTCTCTTCCTCGATCTGATGCACATTTGACTCAAATGGATCATTTATGATCTTCTGCCTTATTGTACTCCAGATAATTCTGCTCGGTGGTTGCTGTGGCAAGCCCACCCCTTTCAAGCAAGCATCTTCATTTAACTGGACCTTCCAGTTTTTATTTATTGGCTTGTTGCTTGGTAGACCAGTGACCCACAGCACTGTTAGCAAGGCAGACTTTTTGCTCCTAGTTCCCCAGCTCAGATCCATGGACAGCTGGTAAAAACAGCCCTTGATCATTTCTAGTTTTAACTCAAGACTGAGAACTCTTTTTGTTACATTTTTGATTATTTCTTTTTTTAGTAAAAAACATCCGTTATGAGGATTCTTCCCACACAGCACATTCCTATGCTTGATTCTCCCTACAATCATTAATGGTTTTCCTAACACCTGATTTAAATCTAATGTGCTGCAAGTCTCACCTGTAAACCTGAAGAAGTTGATCTTTTTGTAGCTACTCTAAAGGTGTATCTAAACACGTGTCTACATGTCTTTCTATTAAATGTTTCAAAATATAGAAGAGATACTTAAGACAAATTTTGCTCACTATTGTGTGATTGTTCATTGTTTTTTTTTTTCATAAGGATTGGCTGAGTCCGCTGAAAAATAGGATAAATGTGCTCTTTGTTGTTGGTAATACAGCAGTTTGCAATCCAGACATGTCCTCACTGACTACTCTTACACCCTTCGTCGTCTCTGTCAATTTAGGCTATAAATTTCACTCTGGTCAACTTGTGCTGCAGTGTTGTCACATTTCCATGAATAATAATAAATATTAGATGGATTTTATATTAATTCAGTCTATTCTTCTCTCACAACAATCAAAAAAGCAGCCTGCATGAAAACTCCACACTGTTTTAGTCGGTGTCCTGACTAGGAAGGCACAGAAATTGCAGTAAATATTACACCACAGCTCACACAGCCTGTTTTTAGGGAACATGGGTCAAGCTGAAAATAGGTCATTAAAGGCCATGCTCTTTTTTCTCCATCTTTAAATAATAAAAGTAGCCTAGAAAAAGCAGAAAAGGGAATGCATTGTTCTGTTATTTATCTCAGAAAGCATTGGCATGCGCTCCTTTAGCTGAGGTCGGACATCTCAATTTATTATCTGATGTCACTGTTGTCACAGGCCAAAGCTCTGCCCCGTTACAGTCCCACTCTATCAATAAACCAGCAAAGGAAGCCACTGCACGAGTACATCAGAATTTTGCTGCATGACCTCTCATTATCGGCTGATAGAACTGATTGCTTTCAGCAGAAAAAACAGGTCCCACCTAAAGGTGGAAAATCATTCATCAGAATGACGCGCAGCAAACTTTGCCTGTGTATTTCTGAGAAAGTGAGAAAAGAGGGAGCAACCACACCAAATTCCTAGCAAGGTGCCCGACAAACTCCAAGAGAACAAAGCATAAGGATGCTCAGAAAGAGAACAGAATGAGAGGAGACAGAGCAGGGGAAGCTGTCCTGCCTCCTGAAACCTACTGAAAGAGTGAAAATGGGAGAGCCAGAACAGCAAAACAGAGGACACACAACCACTCCTCTATTTTGACAGTGAAACAGAGGACACACAACCACTCCTCTATTTTGATTAGCAGATGCAGTTGTCCCAAATTCCTCTGGCTGTCTAGGAAACACAGAGTTGGCTGAGGGCTACCGCTGAAAGCTGTGTATGGCCGTACTGAGCTCTTGGTGTGGGAAAGAGAGAAACAAATGGATGCTCTGGGATGAGCCTGGGACTTGTCAGCAGCCACGCAACAAATGGAGGTTGTCTGTCACCCTCCATCTCCAAGGAACGTGTCACACTCAGCTCTGTAGGTGGGCACACAAAACTGCTGCGCTGCGGTTGGCAACATTTCACAAAAGACATTAAATGGTTGCACTGAGTCTCAGTACCATTCACGGTGAGGAAACATCTACATGGGTAACCCAACGTCCTGGTGGGTCTCAGGTGGTGGTGAGGAGGCAAAGCCTGTGGTGAGTCACCTTTTCTTGCACTTCTGACACAGGATCTCGCAGTATCTAACACAGGAAGGCAGCATTCTTGTTGGTATGGTATTTGTGCAAGTCAGGTAAATTTTCAGACCTTATTTCTCAGGTGCTGTCAGGCACAGAGTAACACTGTTATTAATTTTAAACAAAAAGAATAAATAATTGTGCACCAACCACAATCATCCCTCACGAACCTCTCCACAGCTGCACATTTTGAGGAGTAATATGGTACTTTCTCTACTAAATAGTGCTTGAATAAACTGCCACGATGGAGAGGAGAGCAGGTAATAGCAGAAAAAAGATCACAAGTTCTACTCCTGACGCTGTCAAACCTTACCCACAGCGCCTCCCAAGCCAGATTTCAGCATGTAATGGTGCTCGTGCACCTGCTTTCCAGAGGTCCCCCAGATTCCACCAGCTTCTGCAGCCAGGAGGGCAGGAGAAGCCACCCGAGCGGGCAGAGGTGGAGCCACCCACGGTGCCCCATCCCATCCCTGGCTTCGTGCTGCCATCAGGTGGCACATCCAGACCCACTTCGGTTGAAGCCTCTCAGATGTCAGACTTGCTGTCTTCAGCTGCAGGACCAGGGGCACTTGGCCTGCCTAAGAGATTCCTCTAGATAGGTGTTTACGATAGCACCCACACAATCATCCGCATTTTCAGAAAAAGAGAAATACCTGCAAAAATCCGACACTGGTGACCAGAGCCAAGGAGGCTTCCGAAGCTTCTTTCTGAAGCAGGAAACTTCACTCCAGTGCAGCCTTGCAGGAGAAGCGTTGAACAACAGCTGGAGATCACTGCACTTACTCGGACAACAAACCTCCCATCCTTGGGCGCAGGAACACGCGGAGAAGTGTCACCTTGGCTACTAAGACTGAGTGACTAGTGGTAACTTACTCCTCAGTTTATGAAAAGGGGGCGATTTTTAACTTTTTACAATGTATTTAGAACACTATGGGTAACAACACATGAACAAACATTTCCAGAAATTTGGACTGTCACGCTGTGATTGTGCATTTCTTTTATGTGACCCAATCATAAAGAAGACATTTGCATACAAACATCTCATTATCATAACTTCGGTAAGCAGAACATAACTAATCAGAGCACTTGGCAATCAAAACCCAAGAAAAACGCTCTAGTCAGTGACAGAAAAGGAAAACTAAGGGCACAGACATGAACAGATGCAGAGTAACACTTCAATTTTTCAGTTCTCTTTGGCAGTTCAAAGCAGTAGCAAAATGCCAAGGGAAACTTCCCAAGTGCACTGTAAGGACTCGCTGCGATTTCTGCAGACGAGGTGACAGTCTGAAAGGCAGTTTGTCCACGAGCTTTGGCAAGCAGGTTGGAATGGGAGACACTAGTTTCCCCTTGTAGCTGTAAAACGAGCTGATGTTACGGCAGTGCTGCATTTCTCGGAGCACTACAGGCCTTGATACAACATTCTGGTAGCATTTGATGTTCAGAAAGTGCAAGTCTCTTCATTTCACTAGAAACTTCATCATCACACAGCCACTGGTGTCTGACTCTGCTGGAAGGCCAGAGTGCTGTAGACAACCTCATTCTGGGGATGTGAAAAAAGCTGCAAACATTAGAGAGCGTGCAAGCATTGCATCTCGGCATGAATGTCCTGCTTTTAATTTGTCCTCAATGCTACACATCACAAGCAGTCGCAGTCTGTCCCTGTACATGGGAAATTAGCAAATGCTATGCTGGATCAGACCAGTTGTTAGTCCAGCTCAGGCTCCTGGGTCAACTCTGCATTAGGAGCTCCCAAAGAATCAGTATCATGAAGGAAAACTGCAGAAATGCTTGCCCTTTAAAAAGATTTTTCCCTAATCTGCCTAATTAGTGCTTTAGTTAAGCCCCAGAATCCTTGAAATATGAGGGTAGTACGGCATCTGAGCCCTGTGATAACAGAGAAGGAATATCCTTCCTCCTACTGTCCAGGGACCTCCTGAGGTCACTCCCTGGATTGCTATAAGCACAGGCTGAAGCCCTGGACGCACGAAAGAAAGCACTTTTCCTTAGTCAAACGAATTGTCGACTAACACTTGAGTGTTGCAAGAGCAAACCTCTTTTCTCCCCCCTGAAACTAATATTTACCATTCTAGCAAGAATCTGAAGCCCCCGCATGAGGCAGCAGGAACAGCAGCTGTGAGCTTTACCTGGATGCTCTTGGCAGGTTCCTCAGTCGCTGTCTGGGAGGGAACTTCCTCTTGTAAATGCTGGTGGGATCTCTTACACTCTAGGAAGGAGGGGGATACCAGTCTCAGCTGTCTGCACTGCGTTCAGAGACAGCAGGGCAAGAGAAGCTCAAAAGGGGGGTGAAAGAGTGGCACGGCTGCAACAGAGCAGGTAAAACCTGCCACAGACCTTCGCTGCCAAGTGAGCCGTTTGGCAGCCCAGGCAGGGGGCAGCCCGAGTCCCTGACCCACTGCTGGAGGTGGCCAGGATGAAAGCAACTGATGAATTCGGTAAGAACTCTGTGTGACCAGTGTTAGGACAAAAAAAAGCCAACCACAAAACAAACACAACCAACAAAAACCACCACAGCTCATCAGTGGTAAAGTTAGTTCTTCCGTGACAACAGCCCCTGGGATGATTCATGACGAGTTACTGCCAGAAGTGACCAGTTCATCAGCACATCAGTTATTCAAGGCAGACATAATTTGAACCTCTTTCAAAGTAACTTCGAACCTCTTTCAAAGTAACTTCTGTAGAAGCTACTCTGAAGCCCTGGTGCTGTAAGATGCAGCCCAAAGAGCACAGAAACTTGGCACCAGCCACGTTAAGATCTACAGCACAAGATGTTCAGCACTCCTCTGCCACCAGGTGTGGATCATCACGCTGCCCTTATTCCCTCTACTGTGCCACTTACTTTTTCTGAAGAGGCAGACGATGGCAAAAAGCAGAACAGTCAACAGGATGCCAAAGACAAAGGCTAGTGATATGAAGAGTATTTCATGGCTGTTGACACACAGAAAAGAGTGTCAGAATCCCCAGTTTTAACAGAGGTGCCAATCAGTAGCACTCAATTTCACCAAACTTTCCAAAATGTGGTACATTTAACCCAAGCCCCATGAGATGAAAAGGGATGTATCTGCATTAAGCATCACTACAAATTAAATACCTACTGCACAGACCAGGGAATTCTAAGCAACTTTTTAAAACCCCAAGATGTAAAATGTATGACATAGAACTCCTGCCTTCCAGAAGGGGTCTGCAGTCTCAGGGAACTGGGAAGTCAGGAAATAAAGGTGGAGCACTTACTTAGCAATCCAGCATTTGTCTTCTGAAGTTTGCAAGTCAGCCGCAGTGGTATATACAGTGGTCTGCACAGTGACAGTAGTGGAAATGGGTCCTGGTGTAACTGGAAATGAATAGAAAAAAAAAAACATACAAACATCAAAACCTGGTTTTAAAACGCGTTAATGTCTCCAGTAACATCACAAGCAACAAGAACTAGAGAGGCATGTGCCTATTCGAGTTGTGTTGTTGTTAAGCAGAACGTTTCTCTAGCAGAAGGCTGAAAGCTGAAACACCAGACAGAAAAATTTAGTTATTCATCTAATTCCTGTCTCACAGCAGCCTTTGGCAGCCACGCAGCTCTTCCCCAAACGCACACATCTCCTGCTAAGCTACTCCCCCAGCAGCCCTTTCGAGTCGCGACGGTATCAGCTCAGGCAAGAATGCTCTATCTAGGAAAATCCCTTAAAGAAGAAAATACCTGCAATTTTTTTTGAGGAACGACCTCCCATTCTCTTCAAACACTAATGAGCAGTAAGAGACACTAAAAGGAGAGGAGGGGGAAAGAAAAAATTTTACATACATGTACATACACACACACTAGAGCAAAACAAACCATTCACCCTCTTCTAACTCACAGACTTTATTCAGTTTTTATCATTTTTTTCAGACATCTTACACAAACTGCAGCAACCTCAGCGATTGCTCAGCACAAATTCTACTTCCCAGTATCCTGTCCTGCACACGCACGATGAATCCCCTCTGATGAATATGCTGCCTTCTTTCCGAAGGACAGAATGCATTTAGGAAATAAAAAAGCACCCACGGTATTATTTTTATATATTATTATCTATATCAGCAGCTAGAAATGAGGGAACGTTACGAACGTTTTCATAATCAGAAGCAACTTGTAAAAAAACACCACTTCAAGTTTTTCTGAAGTTACATCAGCTTTTTCCACTAAAGCAGGAATAGTAACTTTCTTCTCAAATTTGGGGGTGGAATCTTAAGGAAACATCAGTCCACAACAAAATTCCTCCCTTGGCATTTCTGACTGTGTGGTTGCCAGCCGTGCGTGGAGCCACGGCAAGCATCGCTGACCACCACAGCAGCAGGCATCCTCTTCTGTCACTGTCACCTTTTTCTGCTGCATGCCCCTCGCTGCCCACACTCCAGAACAAACAGCCCAGACCTCCCAGTTTGCTATACCGAGTCCAAAAGCATAGTGTTGGCAGTAGAAAAGCAACAACAGCAGCACAGCTCCCTCTTACCTGGCACCATAGAGCCGCTGCCCACCTGCTGGCAGAAAACTCCCGAAGCTTCAGCACACCAGTTTAACCACTTGCTTCGTGAAAAGAATCTGTGTCAAACTAGTTAAAGCTCACGCAGCATTCAGACGTGCGCTTGCACAAATGTGGAAGTTGAGCAACTTCACTTTCTATTAAAAAAAAAAACCCACACCGCCCCACCAAACCAGGAAACCATGCAGAACACCTGCGTGCTCAGGAACTGTGCCAGCTGCAGCTTCAGCCAGCTCACTTCTAAATGAGATTCTTCCCTCTGAAGAACTGCCTTCTGCTGAATTTGGCGTTGAAAAGTGAGAAAGAGCGTGCTAATTTACTAACTCCACTAAACTAAGCGTTTCCCTGTTGTAGTACCAACCCATACAGAAGAGGCACGCAAGCACAACCTGATCTGCTCGAGGGTTTTCACCAAATGAACCACTTCCCAACATGGAAAGCACGAGACTACACAGCTGGGACACTCGGAATCTAACAAAATCCTTCGGGGAAAAAGTTTCCTGTGAAAAGAAAACGAAAAGGCTTATACTGTGTATGACCACAATACACACAAAATTATTTTCCTTGCTACACAAAAAAGAAAAACCCAACTTTTTCTTTTTTTCCCTATGAAAACACAGAAAAGAAGCCACCCTCTAGAACAAACTTGTCCATTCCACTGTTTTAAATCTAAATACTGGTGAGTTCAGTTGAAGTCAAGTTTTCCGGTAGCTTTTGGTATGTTTCCGGCCGGTTACTTCCTCTTTTCCACAGAACAGGAAGATGCTTTCATCACTATTTGAAGCTTTGTTATGAAAGTGGGGTTTTTTTTCAGTTTAGAACATTAATTCAGAGTACCTCCAAGTACAGGACCAGGTGAATGGGAGCCCTGGCACTCATTTTTGATCTTGGAACACGTTCACAATTACGGAAAACATCTACAGGTCATTATCACAGAGAATTCTAAACCAAAACTTGATCATCAGAACCAAGGTTTTTCCCTGTGGAGCTCTGGACCTTATCTCCTGAAGTGGAACCAAACAGAATTGCACACACCAGGGTTTCAAGCGATCCCCTACTATAACTGCAGTGGGTTACGTGACCACACAAGGAAACTACTGCTGCTACTGACAGTGAAAGACAGCAGAGTGCTTTATTTGTCTGGTTTTTAATGAGTTGTACAGTTTCCAGCACTAAGGAACGAGACACACGTCCGCGGAGTCGGATGCCACGTGGTTACACTGCCGCCTGCACGCTCCTCGATAACGCCTTCAGGTCCAAAATGCACTTGGCAATGCTCTCCTTCTGCTGCAAAAGAAAGGAGAACGGCCTTCAGAGGAAAGGCTTTATGAACGACACCTGAACAAGTAAAACACACATCCTCGTCCATTTTGGATGCTCCTTTCTAGGCCCATAAATGAGTTATGGACGAAAAGGGACAGAATTACAGCTTGTGAAGTCAGAGACTCAAATCCAAGCAATGACCTGCATTAAAGCACCAGCACACAGTGCTAGGAACAGGTTCTCTTTTTTTCATTCTCAGCTTCATTCTTTAACAGAAAGGATCTCCAGAGCCCATGGGCAGATCTTGAACTGCCACGATCTTACAGAGAATTTTACAAGTGAATTCCCTGGCCTGTTAGCTATCCATCTTATCACAAGCTTAGCTCTGTGCTGCAACAGCCAACAGCACACGATTCCACCTCAAATCACCACAAGCACCTGGTACCTA